GCTGTTCATTTTTAAATTGTATTTCAAACATCACACATTTATTGGGAGTTACTGAATTCTACCAAATAAGTATTTGCAATGTTATTTTCCGATTTTAAAATTGATTTTCTTCTTTATCATGTCATGTTTTGCAATATAACATTCCATTATGAAATCCATTATGAAAGGAAAATCCTTTTATCACAGCAATTCTTAAATTATTTCTTATTGAACTATCTTATATCTATTGTACGGGTTGGTGTCTACCTTTTTCACCACTGTTGCCTACATTTTATCATATTATTCTACACATATCAAATATTTATGTAGAAATATCTGCTATTATCGTGTCTAATAAGATCCAAACATAGAAACCTTGCCTAAAATGGTATCCATCTTGACAAATTATTTGCTCCTGCCTAGGGCCTGTATTACAAACTTTGGTGCACTGGGTTGGTAACATTATTGAAAATAACACGACATTTTGGCTGTAAACTATGATACAAAGAGAAAATACTATTTAACAACTACTGTCATGACAGAAAGGTCATATTCCTTTTAAACTAGATCGCATAATCCTTTATAAGATACGTTGCTTAACAATATGTAAACGTCAATGTCGTCAATATATACGTATTAGCCAATTTACATTATTTTTTTTTTTGGAAATGTCCCATTGCTATGTCATTTGCATTATTTGTTGCCAATGAAGCCACAAGACCATATGAACTAGGAGGCCCCTAACAGTTCAAGAATAAAAGCCAACTTCACTTCAAGTATATTCCACTACACCTAACATGCGGTAGAGAGATTATATTGACAACTTTATGTTATTGATAAGGCTGAGACAACTAACTGACATCCCCCATGTCAAGGAATTCTAGCTTTAACAGTAACCCCACAATCAATTTCTGAAAACTATGCTAGAGGGTTCATTCATTGGCTCAGAAGTACGATATGAACTGCCCTTACGTGACGAAGGAAAAATCAAACTTACACTGTAACGGATATACCTCCCTTTGAAGTTAGAATATGTCTTCCCAAAAAATATTTTCTTTTGAAATAAAATCATATTACACTGATGAAATCACGGAAGTGTTTAGCTACAAAAGATCCACCAATGCGATTTTAATACGATTTAAAGGTTCTTCCAAAGGAAGAGATACCAGATAACATACTAATAATAACTCCGATGACGTACGGTATGGGGAATATTTTATTCATTGAATTATCAACCAATTTTGGCAACTAACGCAATTAATATCATTATAGTCATTTACACCATCATTTACATCATTTACACTTATAACTCTTTAAACAATGCTAAATGCTCAAAATATGTATATTTCACCCAATTTATCTCAGTTAGATGAATTAACGTAAGTCTTGAAAGTAACCGTCGATTTCGACGGGTTTCGCCTAGTATATATATATACCTACTAACTGTACTGCGCCATGTTTATCGTTGTCACTGTGTAACTAATTAAAAAATATCGGTATCATTGAAGTGTTAGTTAATGGTTTTGATGAATCTAAATTAACAGTTTTAATCAACTTAAGTTAACTATCAATTCAATTAAAATTGTAATAACGTATAAATTAAAACTAACAATTGTCAATGTCAATTTGTATATTAATAATTCTGCTTCAGACGATAACAGACTTGCTATGGTTAAGGATATTTAGCATAAAACAATGTATACAACACATTTACATATTTAAATTCTGCTTCGTTTGTATTATTTTTTAACATTTGTTAAGCTTGAATACAGCCAGACCTGTTACGTACAGGATATAGCTACGTAGCCTTTTATTAACCATTTAAAAATTTTGAAGACATGTCCTGAACAAATATTTTCCAATAGTTTCGGTTCGTGAATAGGGATAGAAATGGATTTAGCTAATAACAAACACTAGTATATGGCTTTCCTGTTTCACCTTATCATAACGATTTGGAAAGAAATATAGATCGAAGAAATCATTGTGGATAGTACCTACGAAGTCAGTAATAGGTTTATTTTTTTAATTTACTTACAACTTTACGGCTCCAAGTTATGAAGATTAAATCGTTAAGGTACTATTTATCTTGAGCGATAGTTTTAAGCCCTTGAGTTTACATTTTTAAGAGAAGCATGCCTATATATTACATTTGGAAGCCTTTTACCACAGCGCCAAACTGTAAACAATCTTTATAACAATGAACAAACAAAAATTAAATTATCTGAGAAACAATAACAACCAAAATAACACCTTGTACTGGTGTTCACTGGCAAAGAGCCTTATGGGATTCGAAAGTGAACTTCGGGCTATGTGTAAGTTCTCATGTACCGTTTGTAGAAGAGGTTTATCAATAAGAATTTTCGAAAAATATTGTATAATGGTTCTGTCTTGATTTGATTGGAAACAAAAAGAAAGACTTAATATTTCTCCATTGTTCGTACTGTGTTTTAACATTTCTTTTAAATAGATACTAAATTTATAATGTACGGATGGATTCCAGATTTTTTATAAATCATATATAGGCATCTTGTGTAAACGGTAAAAAAGGTTATCTGTATGTTAATTTAGAGTAAAGTTTGTTTCAACCGATTCATGGAAGCGTTATTGGCTCTCGATTTAAGATCTTAGTATGATTACGGTCAAGTGCAATCATTATGTTTCCTATCTTCTTAATAAAATTACAAATTTCATCTTTGATATAGGCCTATCACTAGTATTCATAATGGTGGGATATCCATTCATTCACGGACCGTTAATAAACTTTAAACTTATTCAAAGATTTATCATCCGTGGTATAAACATAACTTATAAATTTACAGTAACTTGTTTTTCGATAGTACATGTTTCGGCTTTCGATCTTAATCCCACTGTTTTCAACAATAGTGAACCAATACACGTGAGGTTTGCGACACATCACGCCATTAACCTCTCCTGTAAACGTTATAACAACTTTCCCTTATAATATGTTTAAGTCATATTTATTTTGTAAAATATGATTCATGCAAATCTAAAATGATTAAGTTTTTTTTCACAATGATGGCAAAACGGTTGAAATTGACCATTCTATGAATCCTAAAATAAAATATGATTATTTGGTTTAACACGTTTGAATAGCAGCAACCAGCATTATTTACATTATTATTACAATACCATTAACCAGAGTGTCACTTGCTTGGGTATTTGTTTTATGTTGCAAGTTTCAGATTAGGCCTAAGTAAGTTGTGCTCATACAGTATATGGATTTGCGAGATAATTTGTATGCAATCAGTTATGTATACAATGCACTAAAGGTACCTAACAGTAGTTACCATAACTTTACATAATAAGTAAACGTGTATCAGATACAAAATAGATCGAATACTCAGTACGTTGTATACATAGTATTATCAATAAGGGTTTCCGAGGCTTTAGTAACCGTATACAACCATAGCTTCATGGTGGTATAACGATAGCTCATCAAAAGATTTCACCACGTTGTATTTTCATTTATTACCTATATGCCTATGTCTCTATTATTCAAGTCTAACTATATTTTTAGTTAAAGTTTTTTTATAAAACTATAATATCGAAAGTCTATGTCCACAGTCGACGTTGACTACGAAACGACAGTAAAATTCCTCATATTTTTTCTATACTTGTTTTGAGGTAGTATAAGATTAATAATCGTAAAAGTGCAATACCTTTCGTTATACAATGGAGGTATAAACTTACAGCGAACAGATGATATGAGGAGGTTAGCTCCTGTAAGTGTGTTGGTCCGGGGGCTACTGGCCACTAGTCACTACACTAGTTACCGTGCCGCTTCTTCTATTATTGTACCGAGGTTTAACTATTTTTATTACACCGTCACGAGAGAGGAGGTACGCCGAGTTCAAAATCTATTGACGTTGAAAATGGCTTCATTTTTAACTACAGCTGATAAACTTGGTCGGAATCTGTATCAAAGAAACTTGTTGGCAATGTCATAAATTGTTCAAAGAGACAAACCGTTGACGTCTTTCGCTTAGGACCAACAGACATATTGGAGGTTTTCCAAACCGCCCCATAGTCGTAAATAATGCCCGAATATATTGAGTGAGATGCATTATTGCAATACCTTGTTCATTTAAAATTATTTATAACATTAAAAGATTATAATCAATTCGTATAAAAGGAAAATGTCCTATGGCAGATTAGAAATTTGATCTTTTTATGACGATTACTAGAATTATGGGTTGTTTTAAGAAATAAGTATACTGATTTTTTTATATTATTATGTGTATCGTGTTAATTTAGCATTACGCTTAGCACGACTTCGAGAATCAGAGCTATGTATTGCAAATTTTTAGTCTGATGACATCGACATTTTTTGTAATATTTAGCAATGATAAATACTCGTTTGAAGTTCGTTAGCCTTTGAAGCATGCCTCCGAGTACCTGCTACACATCGGTAAATGCAGCGAGAGAGAGGTCATGTCAGAAATCAGCCGATCGCGTCCACAGGACAGTTTGTTACGTTCCAACGTTTATTTTATTCTCCACTGTGCAAACTCCGCTTTGATTGAGGTAGATAAGCCAGCTTTTCACTTGAATTGAATGTGCTCATATATTAAGGCTTTACATTTATCTTTATATTCAAAAGTAGATTATAAAATAACATTAGGCCTTTTTGTAATGCCGTGATGGTTTGTAGCACTGAATTTAAATTATAAATTTGTTGGGTGATAGTAAAACTGACAATGATTTTTGTCTTGTAAGATAAATTTATTTTTGTTCGTTTTGTAACTAAAAACATTATGCAGCATTTAGTAGAGACGTTGTGTTATTTAGTTAAAAAAGTTTAGACCACTTAGAATGTAATTTTACAATTTATAATCATCAAATTATTATCTACAAAAGAAATATTTTATTAATTGTTATTTTAAATAAGTAAAAAACTAAAATATGAATTCTGAAAGTAATAATCCGTTTATATTTTTGTACATAAATATAATTTGTTAAACTAACGACTTATGCTGGTTACGTATGAATGCACTTCTTACCTGAGGTCTAGGTAAATCCTCCCTCGTGTATTGTCTTATCACCCACTAGTTTATCACAGAGAGAATTATCACTTATCACAACGCCACGAACACGCCACAGATGAGCGGGCCGTCCGCCCAAGGGGGTAGGGGCTTAAATAGCCACCGGCAGCGCACCTGGTGACCAACCCGACAACTAAGAAGCGAATTATTTTCGCCGCTACAACCGCGCTTCACATAGGCCCAAAATCCCGGAACATTACTATCTTACCAATTAATCGACCAAGATTACTAAATACGGAACTGAAATACTCTTTGCAGCCCGGGAAACCGTTTGTGCGAAAACGTAACAGAGTTTAGCTGAGATTCTGGGATTCACAAGAAGGTCGAAGAAATTTGCACGTTAAAATACAGCGATTTGATCGGACATACTTGACAATTGACAAAACGTGATTGGTGTAAATCATCAACAAAACCTTTCTGTAATCTAACTTCTTAATTTTATAACCATAGTTGTAATTCTTAATTTCTTTAAATGAACATAGAGAACTAAATTATATTCTATCTACTACAGACACTGGCGGTTCCAAATGTCAAAGGTTTGGGCTACAGGAGCTAAAGCCCCTCCTGGATCCCGGGGAAAACAAATTTAAAAATACATTTCGATATATAAACTTAAGTCACATTGTAACTTAACATTGCACGTTATCCCCACCACGAGTGAGTAGTTGGCTTGCCTATCTGGCAACGTAACATTGTACGATATCCCTAACACGTGTGATTAGCTGGATTGCCTATCTGGCACCTTAACATTGTACGATAACCCCAACCATGTGAGTAGTTGGATTGCCTATCTGGCACCGTAACATTGTACGATATCCCTAACACGTGTGATTAGCTGGATTGCCTATCTGGCAACGTAACATTGTACGATATCCCTAACACGTGTGATTAGCTGGATTGCCTATCTGGCACCTTAACATTGTACGATAACCCCAACCATGTGAGTAGTTGGATTGCCTATCTGGCGCCGTAACATTGTACGATATCCCTAACACGTGTGATTAGCTGGATTGCCTATCTGGCACCGTAACATTGTACGATATCCCTAACACGTGTGATTAGCTGGATTGCCTATCTGGCACCATAACATTGTACGATATCCCCAACACGTGTGTGTAGCTGGATTGCCTATCTGACGCCGTAACATTGTACGATATCCCCAACACGTGTGTGTAGCTGGATTGCCTATCTAACGCCGTAACATTGTACGATATCCCCAACACGTGTGATTAGCTGGATTGCCTATCTGGCACCATAACATTGTACGATAACCCCAACCATGTGAGTAGTTGGATTGCCTATCTGACGCCGTAACATTGTACGATATCCCCAACACGTGTGTGTAGTTGGATTGCCTATCTGGCACCGTAACATTGTACGATATCCCTAACACGTGTGATTGGCTGGATTGCCTATCTAGCACCGTAACATTGTACGATATCCCTAACACGTGTGATTAGCTGGATTGCCTATCTGGCACCGTAACATTGTACGATAACCCTAACACGTGTGTGTAGCTGGATTGCCTATCTGGCACCGTAACATTGTACGATATCCCTAACACGTGTGATTAGCTGGATTGCCTATCTGGCACCGTAACATTGTACGATATCCCTAACACGTGTGATTAGCTGGATTGCCTATCTGGCACCGTAACATTGTACGATATCCCTAACACGTGTGATTAGCTGGATTGCCTATCTGGCACCGTAACATTGTACGATATCCCTAACACGTGTGATTAGCTGGATTGCCTATCTGGCACCGTAACATTGTACGATATCCCTAACACATGTGAGTAGTTGGATTGCCTATCTGGCGCCGTAACATTGTACGATATCCCTAACACGTGTGATTAGCTGGATTGCCTATCTGGCACCGTAACATTGTACGATATCCCTAACACGTGTGATTAGCTGGATTGCCTATCTGGCACCGTAACATTGTACGATATCCCTAACACGTGTGATTAGCTGGATTGCCTATCTGGCACCGTAACATTGTACGATAACCCCAACCATGTGAGTAGTTGGATTGCCTACCTGGTGCAATAACATTGTACGATATCCCCAACACGTGTGTGTAGCTGGATTGCCTATCTGGCACCGTAACATTGTATGATATCCCTAACACATGTGAGTAGTTGGATTGCCTATCTGACGCCGTAACATTGCACGATATCCCTACCACATGTGAGTAGTTGGACTGCCTATCTGCTGCCATAACATTGTAAGATATCCCGAACACATGTGAGTAGCTGGTTTGCCTATCTGGTGCCATAAAATTGTAATATATCCCCAACACGTGTGAGTAGTTAGTTGCCTATCTGGCGCCGTAACATTGTTCGATATCCCTAACACATGTGAGTAGTTGGATTGCCCATCTGGTGCCACAACATTGTACGATATCCCCAACACACGTGAGTAGTTGGATTGCCTATCTGCTGCCGTAACATCGTACGATATCCCCAATACGTGTGAGTAGTTGGATTGCCTATCTGGCACCGTAACATTGTACGATATCCCTAACACGTGTGATTAGCTGGATTGCCTATCTGGCACCGTAACATTGTACGATATCCCTAACACGTGTGATTAGCTGGATTGCCTATCTGGCACCGTAACATTGTACGATATCCCTAACACGTGTGATTAGCTGGATTGCCTATCTGGCACCGTAACATTGTACGATATCCCTAACACATGTGAGTAGTTGGATTGCCTATCTGGCGCCGTAACATTGTACGATATCCCTAACACGTGTGATTAGCTGGATTGCCTATCTGGCACCGTAACATTGTACGATATCCCTAACACGTGTGATTAGCTGGATTGCCTATCTGGCACCGTAACATTGTACGATATCCCTAACACGTGTGATTAGCTGGATTGCCTATCTGGCACCGTAACATTGTACGATAACCCCAACCATGTGAGTAGTTGGATTGCCTACCTGGTGCAATAACATTGTACGATATCCCCAACACGTGTGTGTAGCTGGATTGCCTATCTGGCACCGTAACATTGTATGATATCCCTAACACATGTGAGTAGTTGGATTGCCTATCTGACGCCGTAACATTGCACGATATCCCTACCACATGTGAGTAGTTGGACTGCCTATCTGCTGCCATAACATTGTAAGATATCCCGAACACATGTGAGTAGCTGGTTTGCCTATCTGGTGCCATAAAAGTGTAATATATCCCTAACACGTGTGAGTAGTTAGTTGCCTATCTGGCGCCGTAACATTGTTCGATATCCCTAACACATGTGAGTAGTTGGATTGCCCATCTGGTGCCACAACATTGTACGATATCCCCAACACACGTGAGTAGTTGGATTGCCTATCTGCTGCCGTAACATCGTACGATATCCCCAATACGTGTGAGTAGTTGGATTAACTATCTGGCGCCGTAACATTGTACGTAATCCCCAACACGTGTGAGTAGTTGGATTGCCTATCTGGCGCCGTAACATTGTTTGATATCCCTAACACATGTGAGTAGTTGGATTGCCCATCTGGTGCCACAACATTGTACGATATCCCCAACACACGTGAGTAGTTGGATTGCCTATCTGCTGCCGTAACATCGTACGATATCCCCAATACGTGTGAGTAGTTGGATTAACTATCTGGTGCCGTAACATTGTACGTAATCCCCAACACGTGTGAGTAGCTGGATTGCCTATCTGGCACCGTAACATTGTACGATATCCCTAACACGTGTGATTAGCTGGATTGCCTATCTGGCACCGTAACATTGTACGATATCCCTAACACGTGTGATTAGCTGGATTGCCTATCTGGCACCGTAACATTGTACGATATCCCTAACACGTGTGATTAGCTGGATTGCCTATCTGGCACCGTAACATTGTACGATATCCCTAACACATGTGAGTAGTTGGATTGCCTATCTGGCGCCGTAACATTGTACGATATCCCTAACACGTGTGATTAGCTGGATTGCCTATCTGGCACCGTAACATTGTACGATATCCCTAACACGTGTGATTAGCTGGATTGCCTATCTGGCACCGTAACATTGTACGATATCCCTAACACGTGTGATTAGCTGGATTGCCTATCTGGCACCGTAACATTGTACGATAACCCCAACCATGTGAGTAGTTGGATTGCCTACCTGGTGCAATAACATTGTACGATATCCCCAACACGTGTGTGTAGCTGGATTGCCTATCTGGCACCGTAACATTGTATGATATCCCTAACACATGTGAGTAGTTGGATTGCCTATCTGACGCCGTAACATTGCACGATATCCCTACCACATGTGAGTAGTTGGACTGCCTATCTGCTGCCATAACATTGTAAGATATCCCGAACACATGTGAGTAGCTGGTTTGCCTATCTGGTGCCATAAAATTGTAATATATCCCCAACACGTGTGAGTAGTTAGTTGCCTATCTGGCGCCGTAACATTGTTCGATATCCCTAACACATGTGAGTAGTTGGATTGCCCATCTGGTGCCACAACATTGTACGATATCCCCAACACACGTGAGTAGTTGGATTGCCTATCTGCTGCCGTAACATCGTACGATATCCCCAATACGTGTGAGTAGTTGGATTGCCTATCTGGCACCGTAACATTGGACGATATCCCTAACACGTGTGATTAGCTGGATTGCCTATCTGGCACCGTAACATTGTACGATATCCCTAACACGTGTGATTAGCTGGATTGCCTATCTGGCACCGTAACATTGTACGATATCCCTAACACGTGTGATTAGCTGGATTGCCTATCTGGCACCGTAACATTGTACGATATCCCTAACACATGTGAGTAGTTGGATTGCCTATCTGGCGCCGTAACATTGTACGATATCCCTAACACGTGTGATTAGCTGGATTGCCTATCTGGCACCGTAACATTGTACGATATCCCTAACACGTGTGATTAGCTGGATTGCCTATCTGGCACCGTAACATTGTACGATATCCCTAACACGTGTGATTAGCTGGATTGCCTATCTGGCACCGTAACATTGTACGATAACCCCAACCATGTGAGTAGTTGGATTGCCTACCTGGTGCAATAACATTGTACGATATCCCCAACACGT